TAAACTATAGGGGTAAGTAAAATAATCGAGGCTACGTTATAAACAAATCGCGCCAGACACGCGTAAACTCGTCTGAGCACGCAGCAGCGACTGCCGCTCAGTCTGCTGTAACATCTCGTTCCTAACACATCTATGATAGAAGTTACGCTACAATTTAAAAAAATCGTACACCTAAGTAAACATTTTTATTCTATACATAATTTCATAAACTTAATTTATATGTTTATTTCATTATTATATTTAACTATGTTATATATGTAATTCTAAAGTGCCAATATAATACAATAACAATAATAATAATAATAATAATAATAATAAAATTGTCTAATCTAACAAATCTATCAAATATTTTTGAAAATATACAAATTACATTTTAATACTAGAATCTAAATTTTTATTTTTCATACTTTTATTACCTTTTTTACAGTTATTATATTACGTCCTTCGTGGAATTATTAAGTATCAATAGGGATATGCATCATCATTGTTGCAGATAGTCCTATTTTGAGTGATAATCGATACAATAATGATACACGTGCGCCTTCATACGCTATATAAGGGAGCACGCGATTGTGCGTCTGACGTCTTATCATCAGCGAACGCTGCCCATTGAAATGTTCCTTAATCGATAAGCGTTTCTCAGAGCATTGGATGCTGTTGTATCGACTCGACATGTTCCGCGACGGCTTGGTATTATAAGGCTGAAACAATATGCCGCATGCGAATGCACTTCCCTCACGTGCGAGACTGGAAATGCAGTTGTGCTTGTGATTGGAGCGAGTTGTTAACGAACGTCTTTCCTGAAAACAACAATTTGACGATTATACTTATATATAAGCGATATATAAAAATACAAATTATCGAAAGTCTAAAAACATAGATGGAGATTTTGTATGTTGAAATAGAAAACTAAAGAAAAACTTATAAATTTTACATACATTTGTAAAAATTTTAAATGAAATTAGATAAATGAGAAATTGAAAATTAAAAGAATCTGACAAATATTAAAAAAAACTTATTTTTATTATAGTTCCACGTTTGTCTTTTATCTTTATTATTAATTATATTCGCGTACTATAAATATAGCTTAGAATGATTACCTATAACAATTTATTATCTACTTCTTCACGAGAGTAATAAAGTAAATAGAAGAAAATATATTCTAAATGATATTAACAAGGAATTTTTCAATACTAAAAAAAAATGTATATATTTGTGTGTGTGTATATGTATTGCGATCTTATTAATATTTGTTTCTTTCATTATTTACTATTTAATCTGAAATAGCTGAACACAATATTGCACAAATGGAAAACGCGATACTGGCATTAAATGTTGCGCGTTTAATCTTCACTCGTTCGAGCCGAGAGAGGCTGACACGAGAGAGCAGCGTAATGAAACAGACGGAAATAAAAAGGATGTTACCGTCAAGATCTGAAAATAATCCGGAAAATGGGGAGAAGTGGGAGGATGCGCGAGAGGGTGAAGAGAGTAAGATACGGGTTCTCCCTTTCGCGCAATTAAAATTTCCATTTCTCTTTTCCGCGGTCGGCTTTGTTTTCCTTCTATCTATTCGGGATCGCGGCATCAAAGGTACCTTGTGCCGTTGTAATAATAACAGCCCCCTCAAAAAGCGTTTTCATTGTAACGAGTCACAGGATTTAAATCGTTCTCTCCGTTAATTGGCCTGTCGCTGCGCCCGGTTGCGTCCGGTTCCCGTAATACTTCGAATAATAAAACGCGGGTAGCTGGTCCTTCTCGGATACTTGCCATTAGCTGTTTGACGTTTAATCACGAATACTGAAATAAGATGAAAGGAATACGATTAATTAATCATGTGCGATTGCATTTGTTGACGTACTGTACGTCATTTATTAGCGCGTCGTGATAATTCAAGCAAATGATGTGACTTGGCTGTAGCTTCTGTGATTAAAATCAATTCTGTTTACTATAGTGTGGACTCAATCAATATCAGAAAGAACTTATATTTGTTGTGTTAGTAGAATTACATCGATTTTTCAGTATTTAATAAAGTTTTATTTTTGTAAATTTATGTTTTATAATTGAAAGGTTTCCACAAGAATGAATGAATCCATTTTTTTTTACATTCAAGTTCTGGAGCAAAATCTCTATCATAACGTCATATCGTGAATAATTTTGTTCCGACAAGAGTCAAACTAGTCTATCGTTTTTCCGACAACAATAAAACAAGGTTTTTCGTTTCTAAAAAATGATAAATGCTAAAAAAGGCAAATATAAAAAAATAAGTGTAAAATATTACGGAATAAATAAGTAATAAATATAAAATTTCCGCAAGAACCAAATGCATCCATAGGATTTAAATTTTTTTTAAATATTTTAAATAGGTTCTTATAAAATATTAGAGAGTCTAAAACTTTGTTTTTATATTTATCATATGTTCGGAAAAAGAATTACTGTTTTTATTTATTGAACGATTTAAAGATAAGAATTAATCTCTTTTATTTTCTGAAAATTTAATTAATTTTTTGCATTTGTTTTGTTATGAAAAATTTCCCAATTGTGTATTATTTAGAAATTAAACGATATGAATTGCGTATTTAATTAATTAAAATAAATGCAATTTTTATAATTATTCTTTAATAAATAAAAACTGTATGCTTACAAATATTGACAAATGATAGTAATTAATCTTTAAATGGAATTAATTATTATTATTTATCAACGACACTGCAAGCAACACTTTGTGATATGGCATACCTACCTAATTCGATTGCTTACAACTTTCAAAAAATAAATGCAAGAAAATTTTTTCAATCGAAAATCAAACATTAAGGAACATAACAATACCAAGTAAATATATGTATTTTTATTAATAAAAAATTTATAAGCAATGGAAGAAGTATTGAACAAAGAAAGACGATATGCCATACTGAAAAACCGTTTAAGGATTAAAACTGATATTTTATTATGTAAAATCTTCTTTAAATCACTTCTTAACGTCTCTCTAAAGATTATATGACTTAACATCTATCACGATTTCAAAAGATTTTTTGTTTTGAATAATTCTAAACACATAATTTACAAATGTTTGACAAAAATTTTCTCTAGTTTGTTATATCTAAATCAAGTCGTAATGCCGACTGGAGCGAAAGTAAATTTAGTGCATAGGGTAAAAGGGCAAAGGGTCCAAATTCGTTAAGGGTACACATGGGTAGATTCAGTGGTAAGCCAATTAAGCTGGAAAATCTCTCTGCTGTTTTTTCACATTTTGTTGTTTATTTGCATCCACGAAATAGTAGTAGA